TTCGACAAGGTTTTGTCATCATCAGGTACCAATGATGATGACAAAACCTTGTCGAAACGTTGTACATTTGCTGTCATGTTAAACTTATATTAAAGTTTTTCTTCATTACCCATTTAAGCCGTCTCCAGCCATTATTAGTCTCAAAGTGGGTTCCTCGTCATCGAATTATCATTCACCTAAGTTAAATCTTTAAAAATACATTATTTGCTTTAAAAGTAATACTAACAAAAGACATACCTTCATTTAGATTCCTAAGCTTTAAAAACCTTTACCTCTGATACTAAACTTAACCTTACATCTAAATAGCAGAAACGTTAATACAGTATCCTCATTTACATGAATGGAGTAACACAGTACAAGAAGTTAATCCCATTATGTGCCTAAAAGGCACTCATAAACACATGTTAACATAACATTTGAGGGACTCTATGTTGTTTTAGGGCTACATAATTCATTAAGTTTTTGTCATTCCCTCTTTAATAACATACAGCTATTTTATCCATATTCTCATAAATAATGCTTTAAAATGTTTGTATATTTGCTTTAACTAAAACTTAGTTTTAACTGAAATGCAGCTTTAAGAAATAGAATATGATTTTGATTCTTACGTTTTTAAAGGAAAATCTTCCAGAAAGTAAACAGCCTTTGCGTAAGAAACACAATGACATTGCAAATATCTATAAGAAGTCAACCAGCTATGTAAGTTTGTCCTGAAATTAAATATTAACATATTATCATCCAACAGTCTGAATCACAAAATAAAACCTCATTTTGTCAGAATGATACTTTTTTATAAATATATTCAAGTTTTTATTATCCTGTTATTACTTTATTGTTTGGATTGTCAAACCTTGAGCTTCATCCTACACTCTGATATTATCAGTATTACTGTTAGTATTACTAATACTAAAGTAGACTGAGGCCCACTACATTAATTTATTACTACTAGTACTAGTTGTTTATTACAAAGTTTGCAAACTTGTCAAATTGATGATAAAGTCGACACAATTCTCTTTTTAACAAAATGGGCAGGAAATGAAATCAAAATTAATGAATGATCTGCTAACTCCAAATACTGAAATAGTAATAGTATTAGCTAAATGAGAACAATTATATAATTTTATAGTCCAAACGCTTTGTTTACCAGCAATTTACTACGCATGTCAGCACTATATAGCTTTGAGATACTAAATGAAAACACAGAAAAAATGCTCCAAAAGTTAGGTAATTGTACAACAATATGTATATACAAATTCAACATTTTAGGCCTCAGGGTCAAGAAAACTTGCACTCACTGCTTTGTACTAATTGTAGGCTTCCGACAGTCAGGTTTAAAAAAGCTGAATTCTGTCCTCCAATATAAACGTATCTTACACTTAGATAAGAACACGTCACGTATACCGGGAAAGTACATACAAAAATTGCATCCCAAATATATATATATGCTGAAAGTAAAACTGGAACTTCAGTCTTATAGTGAATAAGTTACATTTAAAATTAGATACACTTTGATGAGAACAACATTAAACAATTACGATTACATCAATATCTTGAGGTTGGACATCCGGGAACTTAGCCCTCCCACAATGCAATGTCCGCACAGCAACAGAGGCAGACAAATAGCAAGACGAAGAGAACATTTCGTTCATTCTGTCTAGATTCGTATTTGTAACGAGCTTTTGTTTTTCCAAACCTGCAAATATGGTGAAGAGTTGTATATTTAATTGCACCAATAACAAGTTGAAAAGACCTGAACTTTCCTTCTCCAGCTCGCCTCAATAGTAAGCACAAAGCAACCATTTGTTAGATTCTATTCCTAGCCAAGTTTTAAGAAAATTTGTCGATAATTGTTTTAAAAAACTAGTTCGACTAGTTAGTTTACCTTTTAGTGCATGTTTTCCCACAAAAACAAGCTACTGAAAAGTAGAGAAGAATGTTGTGTCTGAAAGCTATCAACCGTGGAATGCAGGAAGTAGTACTAATAGGAAAGCTGCGAGAGCTATAGCCTAACTATGAGTGTTCAGCTCATTATATATCGTGTAAACGTTGTCTTCCGTTTTTGTTTTTTTTTCAATATAAGATAATTATACACGTTTGAGTACTTTCACACTGTGCCATTCTATCGGGTCGTTTATACAAGAGTTGGCATGGTACTTGTAGGGCTAAGAATCAAGCCCAATTAATCGTAACTTTACTAGATATCTCGCTAATGACTTGGCCGAAAACTTTTCCACGTATTGATACGACATTGCAATTGATAATCAAACAATAATTGTTTGACTATCAAACAATAATTGAAGAATTTGCACAGCAACACCTGTTCATGGTAGACCTATATAAATTGCGTACACGCAGCTGTACTCGCTTCGTTATTGTTCGCCCCTTTACCAAGATGGCGATCGCGTTCCCAGGCAAAATCACACGACTGTAACGTCACGCCAACCTCAAGAATTGAATTTGAACCAAGTAATCATTTGTTTCAGGTGAAATGAACATTTATGCAAATCAACAGTTTCATAACTTATACAATTGAAGCGCTCTAACAAGTCATAAAAACATATCAAGATAAATTCATACAACATAAATAGTATTAACAAGTAAATTATTTTTATATTATTATTTCTATTATATTAAATAATTTGAATCCCCAAAGAACAAAGTCTCTTAAATTAAATGATGAAAAATGCTTTAAAACATTAACATTACAACGTGAATAACATGTCTATATACCTAAGTTTAGTTATCTAACAAAAATGATTTGTTTATGCGCCTAAAATCTCCAAGCATCCCACACTGAACAACCACGCGGAAGTGAAAACCTAATAATCGACATTCAGTATTCAGAACCAAGCGATAGGGATATGGTAGTCAGAAACTGGGATCGGGTACAAAAAACAACAACAAAAAAAGTTATTTTAAACTCTACAGAAAGATGACTCTTACTGTAGTTATAAATTTATGTAAAATAAAATAAGAATTCTTTACCAATGTATGATCTGCTTTCATTATTTTTAAAGATACGAGATAACAGTCCATTCAACATTACAGAAATTATTTTTAAATAACTTAACGCTATTAAATGTAGTAAAGAAAAGAGTTGGACAACATTATTAAGAGTAACTCATTCGCACTAATAACTATTTTAGGAAGCTGCTATCACAATAATTTTGTAGCCCAACTTGTCTCTACCTAAACATAATGAAAGCAGAACACACATTAGCAAAGAAATCTTATTTTATTTCACGTAAGTTTATAATATAAAGTCATCGTTCTTTGGAACTGAAAATTGCCTTTTATCTGCTTTTTATCCCTACTTCTAACTATTGAATCCTGGTTGACATATTCTAAATTTCGATTACCGATTCCTCATTACTACATTCTAACTTTCACGCAATAACTGAACATTTGAAATAAAGTTTTAGACTTTTATAACACGTTCTGACTATGATAGTCATCTAGAGTAACATGGTGTTCAAGAATGATCTCTGTAGCCTAAGAGAAAGCACATCTATTACGTCGTCAAGAAATTAATGTCGCGTTTTGGAACACTTTCATTAACCCCCTCCCCTATAAAACATACATCACGTCTAATAGCTAAACGAACCCCTTAAACGTCACGTTAGTGTAGCCTATATAGTGTGTAACGTTTAGTATACTTTAATCCTTTAGCACACGAAGAGACACACATTGGGCATGTAATACTGTTTGAATACAAGAAGGGAAACAACGCCTCTGTAGCCACAAAGAATATCAAAGAAGTGCATGGAAATGTTTTGGAGGTTCGTAAGTGTCAACGATGGTTCAGAAAATTTCGTTCAGGTGACTTTAGCCTTAAAAACTATGGAGGCAGGGGCCGACATGTTGGAATTGATATTGTTACGACAGCGGAAGTCACGCGACTCTGGGAGCATGAGCGCTGGAGTTTCTAAAAGGATCATTAATTATCGAGGAACCCCGCGAATGTCCGAGTGTTTGTCAGGCGCCCTCTTTTTTTAGTATATAAGCCTGGCAAATAAAGCCAGCGATATATGGATATGCAGATAGATTGAAGAGATAGATAATTGAGTCAAGCGAACAGTAGGCATCGGAAGTAAAGTGTGT